CAGGGGCGGCGCCGGATGCGCCGCCGGGAGGGGCCCAGCGCGGATCCAAGAAATCCGCACGGAGCGACAAACGTTCATGTTTATGGCGCTTTCTTTCTTCGAGTGGTGGGCGATGGGGGCCTCGGGCTCCCATGTCTGCGGCCCCGTCCTGCTGCTCGTCACTCTGCGCACCGAGGTTGCCGCCCTGTGGGCTGTCATCGTGCAGTCAACCAGTATCATAAGGATGCGCTGTATAATGATGCAAGTGCCCCAGAGACCCACGTGAACGCTCTTCGAACGAGGCTGGCCAGCGAAAGTCGCCAAGGGTTGGGCCGAGGAAGCAGGGTGCAAGGGTACCCTCGGGTTATGTTGCTCCCATCGTACTTCAGGACCGCATCCCAGAAATAATTTCGAGCACCCAGAAAAGTGTCGAAAGAGTGTCGAAACAGTGTCGGACGAGTGTCTCCCGGGGTCCGACACGTGAAAACCCGTGAGTTTTGGGGTACTTTTCTGGTGCTCGAAATTCCTTCTGGTCATCAAGGCTAAAGTAGGTTGGAACAACATAACCCTCGGGAAGGCTGTCCGTCCTTGCTATGCGGGTTGATTGTAGCGCCGCGGATGTCTGCGGGCGACCGTGCCGAGGTCGCGCACGGCGATCCGGCCACGCCTCGAGGCGTAAGCGCAAGCCAACCTGCGGTGGTATCTCTCGTGCCGTCGGATCTCGGCGGCCTGGGGCCCGGCCCATCTGGGCACGGACTGTCCTCGTAGAGTCAGCCGGTGTAGTAAGGATACGCGGGAAGGATGCAAGGGCCTCGGAGGGCCAAGTGGACGCTTCCTGAACGAAGCTGGCCAGCGAGAGTCGCCAAGGAGTGGCCGAAGGGGCAAGGATGCAAGGGTATCCTTGGGAAGGTTGCCCGTCCGTACTGTGCGTGTGGACTGTAGCTTCTGTCCGCGGGTTCATCGTCCGCCATGGCGAGGGCCGGCGCCTGCGCGCGGGGCAGCTCTTCCCCCTCGCCCCCCACGTCGCTGTCCTCGTCGAGCGCGAAGAGCCACCGGACCCCGCCAGCGCGGGCCGGAAGGCAGGACCAGCCAGCATCGAGCCGGGAGATCGGGTGGGGGGAGGAGGGGGAGGAGGAGGCGGAGGCGGAGGCGGAGGAGGCGGAGGCGGAGGCGGAGGAGGAGGAGGAGGAGGAGGAGGAGGAGGAGGAAGAGGAGGAGGAGGAGGAGGAGGAGCAGGCGGTGTTTGAGTGTGCTTTGGATCTGGCTCAATCGGCTCTGGGTCGAAGCCAGATCGGATCGGCCGCGCCAGGATGCACAACAACACCAAGCATCGGCTCGCACGGGGTCGCTCAAACAAACAAAAACATCACGTCGGATTGGGCCGGCAAAAACCGGCATCGAATCGGACCGATCGGACCGAAGTGGCTGCTGCATCTTCCGAGAGGTGAGGGGACGAGGGGCAGAGTTGAGATGTGGGCGCTTCTGCCACGCTTCGCTTCGCGGGTCGCGCCCCCTGCTCCTCCTCTTCCTCCTCCTCCTCCTCCTCCTCCTCCTCCTCCTCCTCCTCCTCCCCTTCTTCTTCCTCATCCTCCTCCTCCTCCTCCTCCTCACCGCCTCGTCCTCCTCCTCCTCCTCCTCCTCCTCCTCCTCCTCCTCACCGTGCGCCACGCGCGGTTCCCAAAGTACCTCGCGCGCCCTGGCACTGCCGCCCTGAACGAGGGCGGCGTCTGCGGTCCGGGCCGCGACGCGCGCAGCGTGGCTATACGTTCGCGCCTCTCCCTGGGTGGCCGAGGGGGAGGAGGAGGAGGAGGAGGAGGAGGAGGAGGAGGAGGAGGAGGGAGGAGGAGGAGGAGGAGGAGGAGGAGGAGGAGGAGGAGGAGGAGGAGGAGGAGGAGGAGGAGGAGGAGGAGGAGGAGGAGGAGGAAGGGGAGGGGAGGAGGAGGAGGAGGAGGAGGAGGAAAAGGGGAGGAGGAGGAGGAGGAGGAGGAGGAGGAGGAGGAGGAGGAGGAGGAGGAGGAGAGGAGGAGGAGGAGGAGGAGGGAGGAGGAGGAGGAAGGGGAGGAGGAGGAGGAGTAGGAAAAGGAGGAGGAGGGGGAGGAAAGGGGGAGGAGGAGGAGGAGGAGGAGGAGGAGGAGGAGGAGGAGGAGGAGGAGGAGGAGGAGGAGGGAGGAGGAGGAGGAGGACCACTGCAAACCCAAGGGGCACCTCCCAGGACCTCCAGCAGACCCCCTGGGAGTTCGGGAGGCCTCGCGGGCCCAGGGGGCCCAGGCCCGAGGTCACCGCCAGCCGGCGCTGACCTCCTGCTCCTCCTCGCCCTCCTCGCATCCTCCGCTCTGCTCCCTCCTCTTCTTCCTGCCCTCGCTGGTGAGCAGGCCCTTTTGTGGCGCAAGCCTCGCGCGCTTCGCGCCCCCGCAGGGGCTTCCGCCTACGACCTCCAGCGAAGGCGTTCGCATGGCTGCGCTGTGCCCATCTCGGCACACCAATCACACGTTTCCTGCCTCGGGAGCTCCAGCTGCGGCCCAGTGAAGGCGCTAGCATGGCGGCACCGCGCCCAATTCGGCAGACCCTTCACACGCTTCCTGCTCTCATGGGGAGCTCCGCCTACGGCCCCACTGGATGTGTACTCGCATGACGCCGGCCATCCATGTCGGCACAACCCTCACTACTGTCCTGTCCCCAAAGGGAGCTCCAGCTACGGCTCTAGTTTGTGTGCGTGATTGTGTGTGCGTGTGCGTGTGCGTGTGCGTGTGCGTGTGCGTGTGCGTGTGCGTGTGCGTGTGCGTGTGCGTGTGCTTGTGCGTGCGCGCGTGCGTGCGTGCGTGCGTGCGTGCGTGTGTGTGTGTGTGTGTGTGTGTGTGTGTGTGTGTACGTATGTGTTTGTGCGTGTTGCGCGTTGTGCTTGTATTCGTGTGCGTGCTAGCTGTGTCTGTGCTCGTGTTTGTGACTGGGCGTGCGCGCATTTGTGCGTGTGCGACCCGCGGTTCTGGAGCTGCAGTGCTGGCGGAGCACAACACGCGCGCGCACGTGCGTCCAGGATCGTAACCATTCTGGCCCGAGCCGCTCTTCCTCGAGGGGCCTGGCAGGAGCTCGTGGGAGGCCTCCCCCCTCTTGGCTGTAGCCTCCATGGCCATGAGGGCGCCGCGGCTCGGCGGCGGCGGACGCGGGCTGCCACGCGGGCCGCCCGTGCCGCGGTCGCCGCGGGCGCCGCCGGCGCCAAGGGCGAAGCGAGAGAGGCAGGCGGGCCGGGGGCCAGAAGCTTAGCTCGGCTCGAGCCTTGTTGGCGCGGGCAGGGCGGCGGGACGAAGGCCAGAGAGAGAAAGAGAGGGAGCCCTCCGAATGCGTACTCTCCAATCCGAAGATAGGATCGCTGCCACTCTGGGTCCCCGCTGCAGCGGGGAGGAGCCGAGATCGAGGCCCGTGAGCACTCCGTGGGGCCTGCTCTCCCCCAAGACGGCTCGGGCCAAACTGGCTACGGAGAGCAGAGACAACCAGAAAAGGGGGGACAGTGAGGAAAAGAGAGGGGGACACGGGGGCGGGAGGGGGCTGCGGCAGGGGGGGCCAGAGGGGGAGGGGGAGAGAGGGGGGGGGGGTGCGGAAAGCTGGAGCCGTCCACCTTCTCCTCCACCTCTTCGTCCTCCTCCTCCTTCTCCTCCTCCTCCTCGTTAGCCGTCTTATGCTTTATTCCTCCTCCTCGCCCTCCTCTAAAGGCCTCCCAATGCGGTCGGAATAGATGGGCCCGGCGGATCGCGTCGCATCGACGGTGCACAATCGATGCATCGGCGGTGCGTGAGCGATGAATTGGCGACCTCGGCGTGGAGAAAATCGGGCTCCACATCGAGCCGCATCGCCGATGCATCCGCGATGCGGCGGAATCCTCCGACCCCCTCTGCTCTGACCCCATCTGGGAGGCCGAAATCCTCCTCCTCCTCTTCTTCCTCCTCCTCCTCCCTTTTCCTCTCTCTCCTCCTCCTACTCCTCCTCTTCCTCCTCCTCCTCCTTCTCCTCCTCCTCCTCCTCCTCCTCCTCCTCCTCCTCCTCCTCCTCCTCCTCCTCACCCCCCCTCCTGGTGATGGGGGCCAGGCGGGTCCAGGCGGCAGCCCGCTCGGATCTGGGCCTCCTCCTGCTGCTCGTCGCAGGGAGGCTCCCAGCCGCAGCTCCCCGCGCGCCTGGTCTGTGAGCTCCGGCCGGGGGCCCGGCCCGCCGCCCCCCTCCCCTGACGAAATCGACGTGGTCGTCTCCGCCGTCGTCGCTCCTCCCCCCACTTCTCCTCGCCCTCCTCCCTTCCATGTGCGTAATGAATCACACCAGAGAAAAGCCACAATCAATGGACGGCTTGAAATGGGATCGATAAGAAGATCGACCGGGAACCCGGGAACCCGGGAACCCGCCGGGAATCCGGAACCCACCGAAACCAGCGCGGAACCAATAACCAGGAACCTGGGAACCCGGAGCTGGGAACCTGGGAACCCAGCCGGCCACCAAAATCGGTGGGAAACTTTCGCCGAAAACACTGATTAGGGAATAACTCTTCCCTGTTGCACACCGAGAGGCCCGTCGGAAGGGCGGGCTGGGCGTTCCGGCTGAGGTTTTTTCGCCGCTGTATGATCTCGAAGCTGAGGCAGTGGCAACAGTTACAGGATGGAGGGCGGGTCGCTTCCAACATGCGACTCTCACATTTGCGCCGCGCGCGCTCGTCATTTTAACCTTTGCAAGAACTTCGCAAATGAAGACGGGCCGCTTCCAACATGAGGCTCTCGCCTTAGCGCCGCGCCTTTAACGGGTTGACAGCGGGTTGTTTCAAAACGTAACCTTTACCCGAACGCCACGCGCACTCGATTTAAAGCATTGCACGAATTTCACGGGTTGCGGGATCCTTTTTCAGAATGTGACCCTCGCCTTAGCGCCGCGCACACCCGTCGTAACAAATACAGGAGCTTCGCAGATGGAGGGCGGGCCGCTTCCAGAACGTGGCTCTCGCCTTAGCACCGCGCACATTCGTCATGTGCAGAAATTTCACGGACTCCCATGGTCAACGTACCAGACATGCTGTTTCGTAATGAGTCACGACTGTCAGGGCACAAGAACTATCTGGATTCGCGCATTGAAATCCCAGAAATGGTGTTCTGGCACGATTCCGGTTCGTCAAAACGCAACAGCCAAGTTGATTCGTGGTGTTGGAGCGCCGATAACGGTGTTGTGGCGCGCTTCAGTATCCTTACGCGGTTGCCTCCCAACGGGGCAACTCCGTTAGTGCGCGGCACCCCCCGCGGAGCCGCGATCCATTTTGAACCAAGAGGGCTGCGTCACAGCGCCCCGCAACAACCCTATAACTATGTTCATAGCTCTGGCGCGCCTCCTCGCCGCCCCCTCGCGGAGCCTCCCGCTGGGGGCGGCCTCTCAGGGGTCGTTGGGCGCCTTCAGCTGGGCGCGCCCGCAGCCGTCGTAGCCGACCCGGCCAGCTCGTCGATGGTCAGCCTCGGGCCCTGCCTGGCCCTGGATGGCCCCGCCGCCATCCTCGCCAGCCTGTTGGCAAGGTTCGCCTCCAGGCCCGTCGTGCTGATGCCCCGCGCCCTCAGCGCCGCCTTCAGCTCGTCCACCTTGTAGCGCACCAGCTCGTCTCTGACGGCTATCTGCTCGCCGCTAAGTGGAACGCCGTGGAGCTCCTCGTACTGGCTCTCCACGGTCCTCGACGCGACCTGTCGTCGCTGCCGAGGTCCTTCACTCTTGATCGGCACGGAGCCTCCCGCTGCCGATCCTTTGTTCGCGTCCTCTGAGGCTGGAGGCGGTGCTTCCCGCTCTCGTCCGCCCTGAGCGCTCTTGCCCTCTGCGGCTATAAGCGGTGCTTCCCGCTCTCGTCCGCTCTGCGCGCCGTCGTGTCGCCCGTCGTCGGTGCCCGCAGTGTCGGGCTGGCGCTCCCTCGAGCCCCTCTTGGCGAGGTAGCACACCGCTACCGTGGCTCCAATCATGTGCACCAGCATGAACAGGAACAGCGGCATGGCGATGCCAATCGCGCCGCCGTCAAACTGGTCTTCTCCCGTGGCTGCGGCAGCCCCCGCTGCGCCGCGCGCGTGCACTGTCGCCAAGACTACCTTCAGCATAGCCGCCGCGGAGTCGCTCACATGGCCAGCCGCGCGCCCTCTTGTCGCTAGCCCCATGAGCTCCAGCAAGACCTCAATCCTCGAGCCGTCCAGGTACTTCGTCCCGATGTCAGCTCGGTTCACCGCCGTGACCAACTTGATCACCTCCAGATCCTTCGTCCGCACGCGCTCCTGTATCCACAGGTCCTGGACACGGAGATGCCGCACTCGGCATGACCCCACTCGGTGGGCCATTCCCTTCGCTGCCGAGCTGTCCGTGCCAGCAACTCCCTGCGCGTGGACCCCGCACAGTGCGAAAATCTGCTGCAACAAGATAGCTGAGGCACCCGCCCTGTTGAGAGCCAGGATCTCTGCCACCCCGCTTGACGTCGCTACGTGGCCCTGCGTCGACGTAGTCACCTCCAGGCAGTGATCGCCGAACATCATCAATGCGCACTGCGTGGACTTTGCGTCATCCGCTCCTGCCGCGTCGCTGTCGCTCTCGACTTCCGCCGTGACTGGGAGGTCCTGCAACGGGTAGTGCCACTTCGTCACTGGGCACCCCACCAGGTACCGTGCAGCACGCTTGAGCCTGACCTCAGCGAGTGGCGTAGGCTCTAACGCTTCCGCCATGATCATCTTCGCTGCGTACTGCACTTGCGGCACGTCCTGGGACACGCAGGTCAGCGCTCCACCTGCCTTGGGAACCACCGCCTCCTTGGGCACAGAGCTCCCGTGGCCTTCGAGCCTGGGCTCGTCTGAGGCTTCGTCGTGTCAGCTGGCAGGTCCAAGAGCTCGCTCGAGTAGGTTGTCGACGTGCGAGGTCGTCTGCTCTCCGCGCGAAGCGAGGAGACGGAGCCTCCCTCCACGCGATGTGGCGCTTGAGCAGCCTGCCGTGGCCACCGCCGGTGGCACCCAGCCCCGGTCGACCCAGCTTCTTGATCTCAATGTGCTCCTCCAGCAACGCGTCGAGCACGTCGAGCTTCGCCGAGATCCCCTCGGCCGCGATGCCGTCTCCGTGCACGCCCGGCGCGACGTTCAACGCCTCGTTGTAGAAGGCGCCAGGGCACGGCGTGATCCGAACCCATGGTGGCCGACGTATGCCGGCCACAACTTCGACGCAGGTCTTGTGCCAGAGAGCGCCTTGCGGAGCTGCCAGACCCGCCCAGGTCGTCGCAGCCCAGGCGGTGGCATCATGCGCAAACGCTCTTTCACGTCCGCGTGGAAGAACGCCACGTTGGCATCGCACAGAGCCACTTGCCTCACCACCAGGCGCAAGTAGAAGAGGTACGGCGCACCTGCCGCCACGTCGTCGTGCTCGAAGAGGTTGAAGTCCATGGCATCGAGTCTCGACCGTGCGAAGGGCGTCCCGTCTGGCCTGTATCGGAGTCCGTCAAGCCACTTGCTCCGTATGCGCCGGCCTACGCTCGTGTTGTCGGACGCGCCCTCGTATGTGCCGAACGCGGCCATCTGGTTGAGCTCCTGCTGGCGCCCCTGCACCACGAGCTCCCTCGGCAGCACCTCGCCCGAGCGGCGGTCGTACGCCGCCGCCTCGGGCACGAGGTCGTACGCCCATGCTGTCGGAATCTCCCGATCGCGCACGGACGCCGCGAACAGCTGCAGCCGCTCGCAGTCCTCGCCGTCGAGTCACAAGTAGGCAGGTTCACTGACGTCAACGGGCACCGCGAGGTTGGCCACCCTGGGCGCCTTCGACCGTGGCTCGCTGTCCGCAGGAGCTGTTGGTCGGCTCCTCGAGTCTACGTCCCATCCCCGCGGAGTCGCCCGCCCAGCCGCTGAACTCGCCGCTGTTGCTGCGCCGCCTGCTGCTGCTGCTGCCATCGCGGCTGTGAGGTTGACCGCTGCCGCATCCACCTCCATCTCTGGGGCTGCGATGGCGTCGCCTGGCAACGGGTGAACCGCTGTCTGCCGATGCGCCGCATCCAGGAGCCTCCCCTCCATGTGCTTCCTGCACTCGTGAGAGTGCGCCACCTCGCCTCCCCAGCACCTCGGACAGTTCAAGGCGGGCCCGTAGGTCTGCACCGTCCTCTTCGTCACGTAGGTGGCTTGTCCGAGCCTCAGCTCGGGTAGGGGTGCTGCTTGAGCGTTCAGAGGTCCTGGAGGTGGTCGCGCTGGCTCTTCCGCCATTGGGGCTGCTGCTGCTGCGGCGCTGCTGCTTGCCGCTGCCGCTGGCTGGATGCGCCTCCTCGGCCTGGCGCTGTTGTGCCTCTGCGCCTGGCGCGCCCTCGCCACGTTGTCTCCGCGGTGGGGCTCGGCGCCGCCCCTGGGCTGCCCTGCGGTGGTGTCTGCTCGCTCAGGCTTGGACTGGAGGTCCCAAGGCAGGCTCGCGAAGCTGTTCAGCGCGTCCACGTTGAACCTCCACTCCCTCGGCTGCCTACTGATCGCCCGATGGTGGCTGGTCTGCCGCGACCCGCCGACCGGGCGCTCGTCGCTCTTCTCGGTCTTGCCCAGCCAGACACCCAGACGCCACTGGGCCTCTGCCTGCTGCGCGCGGTCGCCTGGCACGCGGGCCCAGACAACTTCTCCGAGCGTGGCCACCTCCCCGCGGCACGGCTCGCCCCGATTGACGCGGTAGGCCGTCTTTCCAGCGGCCTGCCTGACAGCAAACCGTGCGAGGAGCCACCCAGTGTGCCTGACCACCCACGGCATGACCCTGTGGAGCACGGGGATGCGCGCGCCCATGCCCGACTCGAGCTGGATCTTGATCACGCGCGCCTGCTTGGCCACCAGGTCGTTCATGGCCTCAATGAAACCCATCGACGCGTGGCTCCTGGCAGGCGCTGCCGCGAGCTGGCACTTGAAGCCCTTCAGCTTCCGCTCGCCGGAGATCTGCTCGGCCAGCGCCTGGACAGCTGGCTCCTGGTCGGTGCGCAGGGCGCACTCCGCGATGCACCGGGCGTCGATGGCCGCAATCGCTGCAATTGGCATGAAGGAATGCATACCCTTAGGCCCCAGGACCGCGTGGACCGCGGCAGACTGGCGTTGCGCCGCCACAGGCGCGTTGAGCAGCACCTCCACGCCGTCGCCAGCGACTGGGTCCACCAGCTGCGGCATCAGGATGGCCTGGTCGA